AGACTCCCGACAAAGGCTCTCCCCTGCAAAATTGGAGAGAGTTTTATGTAGTTTAAGCTTCTAACAACCACGCCCGTGGACTTTTTATTATTTACACAAAGGTAAAAGTGTATAGCAAGAATCCCTATTCAGTGAAGGATTCATCCTTTTTTATGCAGATGCTTCTTCTACCATTCTTGACCAGAAGTGCGTTTCAAACTCAATGATATGGGCATCATCCCATTGAATGTTGTGTCCAGTGTTACGGGTTTGTTTTGCTACTTGCTGCCTAATCTGAGGGCTCTGTTGTGCTCTTTAAAAAGAGGACACAATAGGGGCGGCGCAATTTAAATATCAAGGAATGTATTAGAGTTTATTTCTAAAATGAAATGAAAGGGCTATTTGACTTTCAAGAGCGATAAATCCCTTGAAATTTAAATTGCACTGCCCCATTCAGTGTGCCATCTTCAAAGAGCACAAAAAGGCTTCAGATTGAAGATTCCATCTCATAAAATTGTCTATCAGAGAGAAAGAGAGTTTATTTCGAGAGAAAAAATGAAATGAAAGGGCTATTTGACAAGAGCCCTTTCATTTCATTTTAGAAATAACCTCTCTTCCTCTCTTATAGACAATTTTCTCTCTTGAAAGTCAATAACCCTTTCATTTCATTTTAGAAATAACCTCTTTTTTTCTCCTAAAGACAATTTCTTTCTTGAAAAGGCTCTATTAGACCCCTCAAGCTCTGCCACGTTGTATGGATCCATTAGAAAGCAAAATAAGCCCACTCAATAATTGATACATATTAAAACGTCATAGCGATTCATCCAAATAAGAAATCCACGTAAGAGGCATTTTGAATGTTTTAAGAAAATTCTTTCAAATTCCAGGATATTGGGTGTTCTTTTTCAGGAAACTCTATTTAAACGAGTGGAAGCACTGGCGGTTCTGTTTTTTTTAAAAACTGTAACAATTCTCCTTGGATCAGATATAGACCAAAAACAAGCCTCATTATCTTCAGTATACAAGTGTCATTTCGGACCTTACAGCTTTCATAGAAATCGCTTCTGGACCGTCAAAGAAAAAGTTTGAGAACCCCTGGTCTACGCATTATACACATCAGGACCAACTTGACAACTTGACAAAAATTTGAGGGGGGTTCGACCCCCCCCCCTCTGCCTTATCCATCGTTACCGTCACTACCATTTGAGTAGGGCCGGCCCCCTCCTTAATAACGACTCCCAAGCCATCAAGAATGACCCCATAATTTATAGATTACCATTCTGCCGTTCTTTGGAGGGGCCGGGCGCGGCCTTTTCAGAAGTGTTTCTACACTAACCTTTTCATGCACTCCGGCTTAACATAAACAAGCATGCTAAGATTGTTTTGAAAAGAAGCATAATTTCGACTCAGTTTCGCATAACCTAAAAATAAGAATACGGCCAGTCACCCCCCCCCCCCTCCCCTTAATGCATCCGCCTTCACGCACCCCCTTCCCCTTGTCTTTCCCTTATTCGTCGTTACTGTCACTAATTTTTAGTGCCATTTCGTTGTCTTGCTTTCTCACCGGCTCCTCTCTTCTTTTTCTTTCCTCTTTTTTGAACTCTCTCTCTTTTCTTTACTTTTTGTTCTCTTTTCTTTTATCTTCTCCTTTCCCCCCCCCCTTTTTTTCCCCTTCTTTTTTTCTTCCTCTTTTTTCCTTCTCAATTTTTTTGCTTCGCCAATAGGGGGGGGGGGGGGGGCCGCGGCCGTTTCGGCCCACCCCTGGATCCGCCACTGGAGGGTGTCCCAATTCTTAGGTGGACGTCCCACATTGGATGCGCCCTGTGACGTGCCTGGCAAGTCTGAAGTTGGTTCTGTTTCTGTCCCGGTATCTGTGCTGTTTTGCTGTGCAAGAAATGTTTCTACTTCAGTATTGAATGTCAATGTCTGATTAAGCCAGTCCTCGTTTTCTTTCATGAAATATTCCTGGTAACGACCACACTTGTTCCATTTCTCTCGCATACGATACAGAAAGCGTCCAATAGTCTTTGACAAACTCTTGATTAGTTTTTGTGGAATGTTTGACTTGTTACCCACACTATGATATGCACATAATGCATCAATGGATGTTTCGGATGCCAGTTTGATGTCTGAAATGAAGCCAGCTGAATGCACAGCATGAAAAAGCTGTCTTCTTAATACCGCCATCGTTTATTTCAATCCAAGTTCTCCTAGAATGATACCATATGTTATTGCAAATTGCATCAACGTGTGGAAGCAATATACACTACGCTATACGCTCTACACTGACGTAACCGTTGGCATGGTTACGCGGACGAGCGTTGAATAGTACAAATGTGTACCGATTATGCCTAATAATAGTAATCGAAGGACGTGGGGGAGGAAAAGCACCTACACATGCAGTGTTGCAAATTCTGGCAAAAAGAAATACCATACATGAAAAGCTTAGGTTTGGGCAGACATTTTGAGATTAACATCACTGCGGGAATCGGCCGGAATCCTTATAAATATGCTACTTTTATATAAAAATTGCAATTTTTTCCTTTTTTCGTGAAATTTAATGCTCATTTCCCCCAAAATGAAGCTTCCATAAATGTGGTCATTGTATTTTCTAATTGGGTTACCAATAGGCAAGAAGTGCACGCAGTATCAAGTTGATTGCTTTTCCCTTCATAAATTCTCAACACCTATTGCAAAGTCGCTTCTTTTATCATTTTTGGAGAAACATATAGATTTTCCCATGTTCGCAGGGGTATATGACACTTTTAAAACTCGCTAAATATTAAAATATGGGTGGAAAAATATTCTTTTGAATGTTTTCTTCCCAAAGCGATTAAAAAAAATATAAAAATTCACATTCGCCAATTTTGAATTTTGGCACACTTTGAGGCGATTCTGGCCCACTGTGCGACGCAAGTGCTGAATACGGGGTGTTTAAATGAGCTATGACCGTTTCTGTACTGGCTACCCTCGCGATCTTTTAATTGTCAGAATGCCCATTAAACTGACATGCCGGTTTTGTGAATCCTCAAGTATTTTTTTTCACAAGACTATGCAGAATGCCGAAGCGTTAATGTGATGTAAATTCTTTTCAATACATATGGATATCAAGCTTGAGCCAAAAAGTGTTTTCTTTTGTTATTAGTGAAGAATTATAGAAAACATGTGCATGTATGTAGAAATGAATAGATTTTACATAATTATCATCACGTATTAGTCAAAACATGTTATTTCACATTTAGATTGGTAATAAGAGCTTCCATATCGTTTTGGGGGGAGGGGGAGGGGGGGGGGGGGTTCCAAAAGCAGTCTATACCGTTAAAAGAGAAAGAGAGGTTATTTCTAAAATGAAATGAAAGGGGCTATTTGACTTTCAAGAAGAAAAATAAAATTTATATCGGGCGTGTGTGTTATTGATGAATGAAGTTTTAACAACCACTCCTGTGGACTTTTTTTGTTACCGTTACGCAATTTCTTGCAGTCTGCTGCCTCGAAGTCATCGGGGCAAAGAAATTTAACAATGTATAGCAAGAGTATCTATTCAGTAAAGGATAAATCCTTTTTTTTTCTAGATGATAACTCACCATTAATGTGGGCATCATCTCATTGAAAGTTTTGTGCAGTATTGAGGGCGTCTCTGCTATTGATCAATGATATGGAATGCTGAATTGGAGGGCTTATTGTGCTCTTTGAAAGGAGCTGCCTCGAGATCGCTGGAGCAAAGAAAAGACAACCCGATGTAGTATACAATTGTCCCCAGGAGAGAGTAGGAGTTTCCATAGCTCAAGACGGTCATCCAAAATAAGCCCACTAAATAATTCATATACATATATGTATATTTAAACGTCATAGCAATTTATCCGAATAGAAAATCCACGTAAGAGGTATTTTGAAAGTTTTAAGAAAATTCCTTCAAATTCTAGAAAATTGGGTGCACCGGCGACTCTGTTTTTTTAATATATAACTGTAACGATTCTCCTTTGATCACATATAGACATAAAACAAGCCTTATTATCTTCAGTATGCAAGTGTCATTACTGTAAAATTTAGCAGTAGATTGTATAAGTCTGAAACAAAACTGAGTAATGCTCGAATCCTCGATCTCAGCTTTCCAGCAATCATATTGTACGTAGTTCTACTTACGTTAAAGGAAACGATTGACCTTAAAAACTGTCAGGCGAATGGCACCTCATGTTTTGGACCTTACAGCTTTCATAGAAATCACATCTGCACCGTCAAAGAAAATGTTTGAGAACCCCTGTGCTATAGCATCACGTTAACATTTTGGATAGTGGCTGATGCCAACATAGTTTGCTGACAAGATTATGTAGAAAACTAAAAAGGTCTGTCTAGATATAATCCTGTTCTTGTCTGGTTTTCGATCTTTCGAGAAAGCTGTACAATTTTAGTTTCTTTAAGACATATAGTGGATATGAATTTTAAAAAAAGAAATAAATTTACCTCATTGAAATGGCATCCACAGATATAGTTAATTCATTTTGAAAGTGAGGTTTTGCTAGTGTGATCGGATAACGTCCAAATTTAAAAAGAAAGGCAAGTTAAGGCATTTTCATAATGTCGCTCCTTTCTGCTCAGGCGAATCCAATGTGAATACTGAAATATATATCAAAACAATATAGGTTTGTGAACTTTTCCTTTTTCAGAACCACAAGAAGCCCTTAGTTATATATTCATAAATGAAAAATGGAAAACTCGTTCCCCACGCCCACCCCTTTGGAGCAATGCCCCGGATTTTTCATTAAATGTATAAGAGGTTTCGGTGTGAAATGAACCTTTAAAAATAAGAGTATCCTAGGCCACGTAACCAATCGGGTTGATAAAAAGGCAATACTGCCTTGCATAAGCTTTATTTCATTTCACGTTATGCCGATTATGATGCGTTTGTGATTATGTAAGTATGATTTGTATCATTGTATCTTTGAATGTAAACCATGTTTACCTAATAAATCCACTGATGAGGCAAAGAAGAAGAAAAAAGATTAATTATTCCTGGTTTTTACCTGGTATCTTCCTGACATGAGCTGGCTCCTCGTTGGAGAGCAGATCGGTTGAACGTAGTAGTTCTCTAGCTTAACACCCTCGCCTGCGAGCCGGTCCAGGTTCGGCGTCAGTATTGCAGACCCTTGCGATCGACCATGGTAGCCGACGTCGTTGAATCCGTAATCGTCAGCGAGAATGAATACGACATTGGGTAATTGTTCCGCGTACGAGGATCCAGATGTGACTAACGTCAGGTATACAATCACGACAAACTCACCGAAGTGCCGAACAGCCATTTTTTGTTGTTGCAATGATTGAACTATATACTAGTATCGCATGTTTGGTTCTAGATGAAGGCGAAAATTTATAAGCTGTCTTTACACTGGAACCAAAAATCGATCCTTAATACATTTGTCAAAAGTTGACTTCATTCGTCAAAAGTACTTAAATCGCCAAAAATCGAAATATCCACCTCTGGAGTGTTTTTGTGTATAACTCCGGCGGTTTGTTTCCGTATAAATGTCCGCTCTCAAAACGTTGGTGAATACATTATACACAGGTCTTTTGTTTGTCACCCGATTTTCCTCTTCTCGCTTCCATGCGATCACGTGACATGCAGAGCAGCGACAAGTCACGCATAAGCAGAACCCATCAAGAATCGAAGTGAGCAAAGACGGAAGATTTATTACGGGTATTCCTGAGTGTAAATAGTGGTACCAAAAAAAACGAAAAAACAAAAAAACAAAACAAAAACGAAAATGTTTCTGTGGTGAACTAGTTCGTACACAGTGTTATGTACACAGACAGATGTATATGGGAATAGACGAACATTTGGCATACAATCCGTCCCGATTTGTTTGCTCTTACATGCCATATCTGAAATATAAAGGCATTTGAAGGGCTAGCCATTCTTTTCAGGGAACATGTTTTATCTGATGTTCTTCCACACTTGCAGTGGCGGATCCAGGGGTGGGCCGAAACGGCCGCGGCCCCCCCTATTGGCGAAGCAAAAAAATTGAGAAGGAAAAAAGAGGAAGAAAAAAGAAGGGAAAAAAAAGGGGGGGGGGAAAGGAGAAGATAAAAGAAAAGAGAACAAAAAGTAAAGAAAAGAGAGAGAGTTCAAAAAAGAGGAAAGAAAAAGAAGAGAGGAGCCGGTGAGAAAGCAAGACAACGAAATGGCACTAAAAATTAGTGACAGTAACGACGAATAAGGGAAAGACAAGGGGAAGGGGGTGCGTGAAGGCGGATGCATTAAGGGGAGGGGGGGGGGGGGTGACTGGCCGTATTCTACTGTGGGAATGTGGACTAGTTTATGTTTTATGTAGATCGCGGACTTGTCCGATTATGCAAATTAGTTCGCTACGCGTGTTGCACATGATTTTGCGGATGAATGATTTATTGTGTGGTACGCCGCCCACGTTAATGTGTTAACATACATTAAGGGGAGGGGGGGGGGGGTGACTGGCCGTATTCTTATTTTTAGGTTATGCGAAACTGAGTCGAAATTATGCTTCTTTTCAAAACAATCTTAGCATGCTTGTTTATGTTAAGCCGGAGTGCATGAAAAGGTTAGTGTAGAAACACTTCTGAAAAGGCCGCGCCCGGCCCCTCCAAAGAACGGCAGAATGGTAATCTATAAATTATGGGGTCATTCTTGATGGCTTGGGAGTCGTTATTAAGGAGGGGGCCGGCCCTACTCAAATGGTAGTGACGGTAACGATGAATAAGGCAGAGGGGGGGGGGGGGGGGGAGGGGGGGGGGGGTCGAACCCCCCTCAAATTTTTGTCAAGTTGTCAAGTTGGTCCTGATGTGTATAATGCGTAGACCAGGGGTTCTCAAACTTTTTCTTTGACGGTCCAGAAGCGATTTCTATGAAAGCTGTAAGGTCCGAAATGACACTTGTATACTGAAGATAATGAGGCTTGTTTTTGGTCTATATCTGATCCAAGGAGAATTGTTACAGTTTTAAAAAAAACAGAACCGCCAGTGCTTCCACTCGTTTAAATAGAGTTTCCTGAAAAAGAACACCCAATATCCTGGAATTTGAAAGAATTTTCTTAAAACATTCAAAATGCCTCTTACGTGGATTTCTTATTTGGATGAATCGCTATGACGTTTTAATATGTATCAATTATTGAGTGGGCTTATTTTGCTTCCTAATGGATCCATACAACGTGGCAGAGCTTGAGGGGTCTGGTAGAGCCTTTTCAAGAAAGAAATTGTCTTTAGGAGAAAAAAAGAGGTTATTTCTAAAATGAAATGAAAGGGTTATTGACTTTCAAGAGAGAAAATTGTCTATAAGAGAGGAAGAGAGGTTATTTCTAAAATGAAATGAAAGGGCTCTTGTCAAATAGCCCTTTCATTTCATTTTTTCTCTCGAAATAAACTCTCTTTCTCTCTTATAGACAATTTTATGAGATGGAATCTTCAATCTGAAGCCTTTTTGTGCTCTTTGAAAATGGCACACTGAATGGGGGCAGTGCAATTTAAATTTCAAGGGATGGATTAGAGTTTTTATCGCTCTTGAAAGTCAAATAGCCCTTTCATTTCATTTTAGAAATAAACTCTAATACATTCCTTGATATTTAAATTGCGCCGCCCCTATTGTGTCCTCTTTTTAAAGAGCACAACAGAGCCCTCAGATTAGGCAGCAAGTAGCAAAACAAACCCGTAACACTGGACACAACATTCAATGGGATGATGCCCATATCATTGAGTTTGAAACGCACTTCTGGTCAAGAATGGTAGAAGAAGCATCTGCATAAAAAAGGATGAATCCTTCACTGAATAGGGATTCTTGCTATACACTTTTACCTTTGTGTAAATAATAAAAAGTCCACGGGCGTGGTTGTTAGAAGCTTAAACTACATAAAACTCTATCCAATTTTGCAGGGGGAGAGCCTTTGTCGGGAGTCTTTAATAATAAAAGGGATAAATCCTTCACTGAATAGGGATTCTTGCTATAATGTTACCTTTCTTCGCTCCAGTGATCTCGAGGCAGCAGACAGCAAGAAATTGTGTAAATAATTCGCTGTTGCCGGGAGTCTTGCATGGGGCGGAGCACCAGGAAGTTCTTGAACTTTAAAATTTTTTAGGAAATTCCAAATAGTCGTCATGAGCGATAGAAATTGTAATTTCCTCCTTGAGAGTCACATACCCCCTTTCATTTCATTTTAGAATTTAACCTCTCTTTCTCTCTTAAAGACAATTTCATATAACTTCTGTTTTCGTATTGTTGTACTTTCGTCCGCAGACTACTTAAGCACATGTCGAGCCAACTCAGTCGGAAATGTAATATGTAGGCCTAAGTGTAAAGTTAAGTTTCATGTTCTTCCTTTTTTCTTTCTTTCTTTCTTTCTTTCTTTCTCTCCCTCTCTCTGTCTCTCTCCTTTTCCTCTATCTTTTAAAAAAAAAAAAAAAATCTTTCTTTTCTTCTCATTTTTCTGTGTGTGACATGCGTTGCGCGTACGTCTATCAATGTCTTAATATGGCAGATTTACATTTTGATGTTTCCCTTTGTAGGTGCACCTTATATTCCAGAAAGTGCCCTATTTTGATGGTGCCCCCCCCCCCATGTATTGATCTCGATAAAAAATAAATTTCTCATTAATTCTATTTCCAATATATCTAATACTTGCACTAATCTCCAATTTAAAAAAAATCGTCTACTTTCTCTCAAGACAACATTATATAAAGGATTCATTAATGCAAGGCTAGTCACGCGAGTAATCTCTCAATTTCTAACTTCCTGCTTTCCTCATCTCCCAGTCTCCATTGCTTTAATATTCCTCGTTACTTCCTTCCAATTGAACTCCAACTTAATTGATGTTATACACTGTATCTATACTTCAACTACAGGTAGATGCAAATGTTACTCAAAATCCATTATATAAATCACACTCAGGATACAGCCAATCGACGAGAATTGCTTCAATCTATATTTTACATGTATCATTAATATATGGTTTTACAATGGCTATGGTGATGAGTTGTCTAGGTAACATGTTGATGTGTTTGTTAAAATGTATTACCATGGTGCACCTTCTTGGTTACAAACAAATTATGTGTATGTATTAACGTAAGTTCGTGCCTTTACATATCACAGTAGAAATCAATGTTTTATATTTGATGCAGAATAATATTAATATTTGGAGATTAGAAACACAAACAGTTTCCATAACCGTTCAAGTGTTTCAAGAAAAAGTTAAGAAAACTTTCTCCTGGATGTAAATTGGAATTTTAAGCGGTTTCATTGGAATTAATCGAGAAATTCCCCTCGCTAGCGTGTAAATAAAAATACGCCGGCCGGCCATACGTAAATGGCAGTGACGGTAACAACGAATTAGGAGGAAGGGGTGCATAAGTGAACTACAAGCGATGATGATGGGGCGGGTGGCAGGGGTAGGGGGCAAAGTTCGCCCCACTCTTCAAGTACCCCCCTCCCCAAAGGGCCACTTTTACTTTGTAAAGAAGTGCCCCTTCCCCTTTTTAACTCGGATAAGCGCACATTTCATCAACACATGTGCCCCCTTTCCTATCTGATAAGGGCTATTTAGAAAAATGAGGCCCTTCATAAATAAAAAGTGTCCCTTTTCATCTCTGGTAAATGACCATTTTCATATATGAGAAGTTAATTCTTTTCACTTCAGTGCGCTCTTCACCTCCGATAATTGCCCCTATTCAAATCTGAGAGATGCTCGTTTTACTTTGAAAAGTACCCCTTCCCCTCCTGATAGGTACTCTTTTCATCTATGATGGGTGCCCATTTTCACCTTTGCTAACTGCCCTTTTATTTTCAATCGTGCCCCTTTCCCTTTCTATTAAGGGACCTATCCCCTTTTCATAAATGCCCCTTTTCACCTCTGATAAATCAATTTCTGATGGATGCCCCTTTTCCGTCGACAAATGCCCATTTCCCATACTCATAAGTGCCCAATCTCATTTCTGGTGAGTGCCTCCTTTCAGGTGTAAGAAGTGCCCAGTTTAAACCTTGATAATTACTCTTTGTACCTTGACACATGCTCCTTTTCTTTTCTAATAAGTGTCTTTATCCCTTTCGATATGTGTCCCCTTAACCTCTCATCATCCGGCACGTAGGCACGGGGGGGGGGGGGCACGGGGAGGGGGGCACGTGCCCCCTAACCTGCTCATCATTAGTCTTGCACTAATTTAAAGCGACTAAGAGTAATTTCCCCTAAAGCTTGCTTGCTCGCTCGCATTTATAGATGATACAATTATATGTCACTTTAAAACAAATGTTTTTTCAGTCTTCCGTGATGCTTATAACCCCATCATGATTTGGTTTTTTCCTCTTTATAAGATGTAAGTTTTCACTCTGCGACCTCACAGATCTTACATTTTTTTCTCGCTCGCTTTGCTCGCTCGCAAATGAATATTCAGACAATCACACTCAGCCGAAAGTGTGATGCTTAAGCAATAACTTGTATGATATATAAAGAAAAACAAATATTGAAATCGTCCCTGATAATGGGATCACAATGAAAGGGTATATACCAATGTCTAAAAAAATGTATAATTTCGCCTTGAGATTTCGCTTTGTAGGTGCCCTTTTTGTTGGTGCTTTCCACTTTGGAAATAGCTCCGCCGCCCCTGCTTACGCATTAGCGCCAGCGTTAATTTCACGCTTGCACGCACAGGGGG